ACCCTGCCACGTGGGGACCATGAATGCTGGGGCAGAAGAAAACCCATAACTAGAGTAAAGGCATGTCCAGGGGAAATTTTTAAAATTATTTCTAAACCTTTGAAACGGGAGGTATCTGCAAAGTTAAAATCTGTATTTTCCATTTCTGCATTCACTGACGTGAGACATATTTCATACAAGTACTAGAAAGCAGCATTTGTGGGCTGTTTGGGGGTGGGTCCTTCCCTGGCCTAAGAAATTGAAAAAGAGCATGCCCATCAGGGGCTCTAGCAATAGTGTCAGTGAGATGGAGAAGTTGCTGGTGTCCTCCTGGCCCCCTGTGTGTGTGTGTGTGTGTGTGTGTGTGTGTGTGTGTGTGTTAATTCCCAGCCTTGCAACATCTACCAGGATTCATTTGTCAAACAGTAGGTTTGATAGTATTTTCTTAGTGGATTGGCTGGACAGTTCAGTTAGAACACAAACTGTATCCGTGTGCGTTACAGATGGGAAGAAGTACGAGCATGCTCACCAGCCATAGGGTTGGGTTTGGAAAAGGAATTGAGCCCTTTGGTACAACTCTTGGGTGGACATACCAGTAGAGCCCTAATCAAGCATCCCAAGTCCTCAGCACAGGGCCCAAGGACCCTCCACATTTCTGGGTCTTATTTACCAACAGTGGATATGGCAAGAAGAGGAAAGAGTAGGTCAGACTAACAAAGACAAAGAATATGTGCCTGTTGATAGTCTACATCACATGACACAAAAAATAGCCATAGGATCAGGAAATGAATAAACAAATCCAGAGTCCAGTAACTTCCTTTAAGGATTAATGAGACAAATGGGAGAATTTATAAACTACACTGCCAGGTGTTCAAAGTTGTAAGACAGGCAGGTACTGGGGTTGATGAGCATTTGTTGCCTTTTACTGGAAATGGTAATAAAAAATGTCTACCATCATTTGGAAAAATAGATGCTAGGCTTCCTAAAGCCCTTCTGATATCTCTTTGTACATTAGTTTTGTGGCTGAGAAGAAAGAGGCTCAGCAGGATTGAGGCTATTCAAGTGCATAGAGCTAACAAATGTCAGGACTCAGTTCTAAACCCCATTCTTTGAACCTCATGCTCTTTTCCACTTCGTTATTCCACCTCTCAAGACCAGGCAAAGTTGAAAAACAGTAAGTCTATAGAATTTTAATCCACCCCTTGAGATTTGTATTAAACCTAACCAACAGGTTTCCCCCCCAATAACCATACTCTCTTTTCGAATATAATACCCTCCTTTTGGAACATAATTATTTGATTATTGCAGATGCTTTGGTGTTGAAGGGGTTCTTGGAAAAACAATTACCAAGGGAGGAACCATGAGGGAGAAAGCTTATAAAATGTCCTAGATGAGGAAACTGGGTGGCTTTGTCAGTGGAGCGTTCGACTTTGGCTCAGGCCATGATCTCACGGTTCGTGGGTTTGAGCCCCGAGTCGGGCTCTGTGCTGACAGCTGAGAGCCTGGAGCCTGCTTCGGATTCTGTGTGTGTGTGTGTGTGTGTGTGTGTGTGTGTCTCTCCCCCTCCCTATTTGTGCTCACTCTCTCTCAAAAATGAACAAATGTTTAGAAAAATAAAAAAATTCCTAGATCTATTACCTGCTATAAACTTGGTTCATCTGCATTTCTTGATAAGCATGGGATCTTCTCTGTAATGGCCAGACTGTGACACTGTGTATAAGTAGGAGAAATTAAGAACATTACTGAGGAAGGTGGTGCTGTGGTAATTCAAAATGATTTGTGGTAGCCATGTGTTCTTGCACTGGCTGTAGAGAAACAGGGAGACCTGGTGGTAGGCTGGTAGGTGTAACAACATACTCAATTATTGGTAGAAATTTTGAAAAACAATGTGCAAATTAGAGCAAGGCATAGATCCCCATAAAAGAGAAGCCCTCTGAGGAGCCCTGAGAGGATTCTGCCTCACGTTGAAGCCATGTGGGAAGAGACCTTGGTGATGTTGCGTGAAGTAGGGTTCATTCAGCAATTGACCACAATACCTATGTAATGGATGGGTCTTCTCTGCCTCTTCCAAATTGTGGTTATTTGGTATTTTTTTAAATACACAAACAGAAGATCATATGCTTTTGTTGAATCATTACCAGTCTTCATACACAGTAAAACCTTGCTTTGCAAGCATAATTCCTTCCAGAAACATGCTTATAATCCTAAGCACTTGTATGCCAAAGCACATTTCAAGAACCATTGGCTCAGTTGTGATCATGTGACGTTCGGTGTCATGTACTACTCATATTGCAAGACATCGCTCATTTATCAAGTTAAAATGTATTAGAAATGTTTGCTTGCCTTGCAGAATACTCACAAGAACAAGTTACACAATCCAAGGTTTTGTTGTACTTTGTTGTACGGGAAAAACTTGATCAAATTGGGGAACTGAAGAATGCCAACGTATAGGAGCTGCAGTTAATCAGGAAGAGGAGAACAAACACAAGGTAATGAAATCTAAAATCTAATTTCTCTCTTCTTCAACAAGAGGAACTATATGTTATTCTTTCCCTACTCTTGTCACATATTCTGGGATGGTGGTGCCAATTGGTCAATAAGATAATAAACAGTTATCTGCTATTCTGCCTTTTAGTCACAATAGAGGTAGAATAGACAAGAATTAACTGCATCAGTTGCCAGAACAAATCAATCATCTTTTCAAAATTTCTCTCTATTACATCCAGTGTCTACCACAAATATATGATCTACTCTTGTATACAACCCCGAATACCTAAAAGAAAATTTTAATTTTGTCCTTGGAATCGACATCACTGTGAAGTGGGATTTGGGAGTTCACTGAACTCAGAAGTATGTTCCTTTAATCTGCTCTAGAAGTTTTTCTTTCTCACTTACTATTAAAAGACTTTCCTCATCCTTGATGAGGTCTTGTCCTCATCCTACATGGACATATACAAGATGTGCAAATGAGTTTCCTTTTCAGCCACTTCAGACGGGTAGTAAACTGTAAGCAATTCTCATGCAATCTAAAGGAATCATACCTTTATGTCCTTGATCTTGAATGGAAATGTTTGATTTTTGCATCAGTTATGGAGAATAAATGTGAAAGTGATTGAATTATTGAACTGTGAAAAGTGATGAAATCAATTACTCTAGTGTTTTGTGTTATAGAAGAAAAATACTTGGCATGCTAGCATCTCGCAGCCTGGTATGGTTATGGTACACCAGGCATGGTGTATGGTGTAAAATAAAGGGCGGAGAGGGCAAGAGCAGATTTCTCTGAAAATGAAGGAGTAAATTTTAGGTTTGGATCAATCCAAGCAGATTAATTGAAGAACTTTCCAATTTGTGCCTTATTTTTGTGACGTGTTACCCCTATCACTGCTATCAGCTCTCCCTGTAGGCTCTGAAGAACACCGCCAGATGAGGGGATTCCACACTGCTATCACCTCTACAATGGTTCTCTTCAACCCAGTCGATTCTTATAGTAAATCTGGGAAGAGATGTGCTGGCCACAGCTAACTATCCCATCCCCTTTCACTGCATCTGACTTTAAACCACCCGTGAAACAGATGTGATGAAATTCATGAAATTTACTAGGTGCTATTTACTTTGTACCAAATATGTGAGTTACAGACCCAGAGAGGGCCATTTGTAAGGTGATAAGTGACATGTTAAGAGTTAGGCTCGTTAATATACATTATATACTGTTAGGAACTATGCAAACGGATGCATATATGGATATGCAGGTGTATAATCCAAACTGAGCATATCAAGGGCCTCCCATCATAAACAAACACAAGGGAAAAGATGAAATAACTAGTTGACAGCAAAAATTCTTTGGTATGAGTTCACAGTGGTATACTCTGCTCCTTTCTTTGAATGAATTTCCTGGTAAAGTGGGAATAAAAATAATTCTTTTTTTTTTTAACGTTTATTTATTTTTGAGACAGAAACAGAGCATGAGTGGAGGAGGGGCAGAGAGAGAAGAAGACAGAATCCAGAGCAGGCTCCAGGCTTTGAGCTTTTAGCACAGAGCCCGATGTGGGGCTCAGACCCACGAACCATGAGATCATGACCTGAGCCGAAGTCGGACACTTAACCAACTGAGCCAGCCAGGCACCCCAGGAATAAAAATAATTCTTGAAAGTATTTTTGCACCCCAGATCAATCGATTATCTATCTATATATGCTTTGATATAACCGCTCCACCTTCCACATAATTTGGAAACAAATAGAATTAGTAAGGGACAAATGGAACTGTAGGGGCACCTGGGTGGCTCAATTAAGCATCTGACTCTTGATTTCGGCTCAGGTCATGATCTCATGGTTCATGAGTCTCAGCCTGGCATTGGGCTCTGTGCTGACAGCGTGGAACCTGTTTGAGAGTCTCCCCCTCTCTCTGCCCCTCCCCCACTTGCATCCTCTCTGTTTCTCTCAAAATACATAAATTTAAAAAAAATGAGACACTGTAAACTCAAAAAGAATAATAAGCTGGCTGTATCAAATGAAATGTGACTATAATGTTTCATAATGGGGAAAATGTTAGCGAATAGGTTACAGAGTGATGGCAAATCGTCTTCTGACCGGCCAGACATTGGGTGATCAAAGGTATCAACACATATCAGACAATAACCAGTCATTTTAGCTTGCAAATAATGTGGGAAGTGAACCTTTAGAAATGTCAAGTGACCAAACAGGTATGTGCAGAAATTAACTTTTTTTTTTTATTATATATCATATAATGTAGTAGTAAAGTTTGAAGTGCATGAATAAAAAGTTAGTGAAATTACAGGAGGAACAATCTATAGAGCGATAATAGGTGCATTCCTTGTGCATCTGAAAGGAAAAGAAAAAAGAGTTTTCACTCATTTTGGCCTAAAACTTAGTGTCAGGTTCCCAGGATTCTGACATCAGAACCCGGATAACGCTGATTAGAACCATAGGGGCTTTACAATAAAAGCTAAAATATTGACCATATGATGGCAAAAAGTCTTAGTTTGTGGTTAACTGATTCTCTTCTAGCTACTCTCTGATGAAGTTGGTGGCGCTGTGGAGGAGGACCGCCGTCTCCTGGACGAGGATCGGGACCGCTCGGCGTTGTAGGTGACATGCTTGTCGTAGTTCTCCATCTGAGCCTCCAGGACATCTCTCTGCTGCTGCCTGATGGTCTGGCTGATGAGCCCAGGGAGGGCGTGGATGCTGCCAATCAAAGTCTCCAGTTTCGTTTCCACGGTAACAATCCTCTTCTCAAAGTCTTCGCTCCGCTCATTTAGGTCGGAAATCATGTCATACATGATGTTCTGGGTCTGCAAAACAGGGCGGACACGGGTAGAGCAACCAGGAACTCAAGGTTTCACGACACTTGCCCAGGAAGCGAGCTGTCCGCTCTCTTCAACCCTTTGTTGAAGCTGTCTTGTTTCCCTCTAGAGGGCCGCCTGGGTAGCTCATCCGGTTAAGCGACCCACTCTTGATTTTGGGTCTGGTCATGATCTCACGGTTCATGGAATGGAGCCCAAGGTTGGGCTCCGTGCTGCCAGCGAGGAGCCTGCTTAGGATCCTCTCTCTCTCTCTCTCTCTCTCTCTCATTCTCTCCCCCTTCCCCCCCCTGTTTGTGCTTGCTTTCTCTCTCTCTCGCTCTCAAAATAAATTAAAAAAAAAATAACAAAATGTGCTCTTAGCTGCTTCACAACCTCTTAATGGTGATAAATGAACCAACTGAATAAGGGAGTTACTGTTCATGATACAGGCACCTCATTTGAGTTTGGCCACGGAGACAGAGTGCATTAGCTTTATTTTTTACTACATAGTCTGGAGGCTATGTGAACAACATCCATTCATTCAGAAAATACTGAACCCCTATGGCATGGCAGCGCTAGAGCTGTATTAGTAAGCACAGCACTAAAGAAATACTTTGAAAGGAATAGTGTCTTGCCTCATAGATATATTCCTGAGATGACATTATGCAGTATATATTTATCATATAAACTATATATCTAGTAAAATGTTATATTACATTATTTCCAAGTGGTCTGTTTTATCATTTGACCTTACAGTGATGTAAGAGTCTGCCCCATCTTTGTTCAAGGTGTGTCTATGGGAGAGCCACGTTTGTAAATATTAATCGAGAACATCTTTCAGTCTCACATGTGCTACCCATCTTATATGTATGATATATGTATGCTGTCCTACAGGTAAGTTGTTGAGGATGTCACTATCTTCTACTCATAAGACATCAAATATTCAGGTGCACCTGGGTGGCTTATTCGGTTAAACATCCGACTTTGGCTCAAGCCATGATCTCACAGTTCATGAGTTTGAGCCCCGTGTCGGGCTCTGTGCTGACAGCTCAGAGCCTAGAGCCTGCTTTGAGTTCTGTGTTTCCTCTCTCTGCCCCTCCTTCTCATGCTCTGTGTGTGTCTCTCGCTCTCAAAAGTAAAGAAACATTTTTTTAAAAAGCATCAAATATTCAACATTTACATGCTTATATAGTATGTTATTGATATACATGAAAATGAATATGATTTACTTGTGTTATTTTATGAGACTAGGACAAAGAGGTGTGATTTTCATAGATGATATTGGAAGCTTTATAAAGAACATAGCTGATTTATCGAACAAACAACAAAATGTATTGAGAGAGGCCCCTTTAAAAGCATTTGTTGTTAAGGGGCGCCTGGGTGGCTTGGTCGGTTAAGCGTTCGACTTCGGCTCAGGTCATGATCTCACAGTTTGTGAGTTTGAGCCCTGCATCGGGCTCTGTGCTGACAGCTCAGAGCCTGGAGCCTGCTTCAGATTCTGTGTCTCCCTCTCTCTCTCTCTCTCTGCCCCTCCCCTGCTCATGCTCTGTGTCTCTCTGTTTCTCAGAAATAAATGTTAAAAAAAAAGTTTTAAAAAGCATTTGTGTTAAAAGGCTAAAAACTTCCATATATGCTAAAATACCTCTTTTGGACCTAGCTCAGGAAAATGGAAGGTCACTGATGACAAATACTCATATTTAAAAAAAATATATCTGTTTAGGGGAGCCTGAGTGGCTCAGTCGGTTAAGTGTCTGACTTCATCTCAGGGCATGATCTCATGGTTTGTGGGTTCGAGCCCCGCATCGGGCTCTGTGCTGACAGCTGAGAGCCTGGAGCCTGCTTCAGATTCTGTGGCTCCCTCTCTCTGCCCCTCCCCTGCTCACTTGCTGTGTCTCCCTTTCTGAAAAATAAATAAAACATTAAAACAAATTAAAAATATTTGTTTAAATGTTTATTTTGAGAAAGACAGAGTGTGAGTGGGGGAGGGGCAGAGGGAGAAAGAGAACACACGTGAGAGAACATCTTAAGCAGGCTCCATGCTTAGTGTGGAGCCCAACGCAGGACTTGATCCCATGAACCTTGGGATCATGTCCTGAGCTGAAATCAAGGGTCGGATGCTTAACTGACTGAGCCACCCAGACAGCCCTAAATATTCATATTTTTAAAGTGGAATTTACTTGAAAGGGACAACCAAAAATCAACCAGATAAATCTTATAAGTGTGAAAGAGGAATCTGGGAACTATTAATGTCCTTTTAAAAAGTAGTATGATTTTTTAAATAATGAAAAAAGAATCATAAATTATGAAAACTGATTCCCTTTTTTTTAAAAGATGATGTCCATGTTCTTAAAAAACTATTTCACAGTCTTCTGAGTTGGCTTAAAAGTAAATAAAAAACAATAATTTTATCAATGAGTCCTATGGAGCCCTGAAGGTCATGGTCAAACCCAGAATGCAGTTCTCCTCTCAGAGGGAGGAGACTGAAGGACAAATATGAAACCCAATGGTATTGTCTCATATTCCATGTACATTTTCCATGATACTTTCAAGTCACTGTAAGTAGGAAGGCTTTTAGAATGGGGTTTGAATAATTTATATAGGGAAAGAGCATGTGAAGAAAAATCTTTTAAGGTGGACCATCATGTTAGGGCTAATTGTTGGTTTGATGTACAACACAAAGTTGGGGTATCCTCCTCCCAGTGCATTATCAGTCACCGTGCAGGGCTTCATTCCAACACACCTCACCATGAAGGCTGAGACCTCACCCATGCTTACCTTTGCTAGGTCCACCAAGGTGTTGGCTTGGTCATTCAGTTTCCTCTGCTCCATTTTTACACTTCTTAATCTAAAAGACAGAATCTCAAGTCAGAAGGGTTCCTTCCTGTCTACTGCTGTCATAACGCCTTCCAAAGAGCATGCATAAAATCGACAAGAGCAAATAACTGCATGGATAATGCCTTGAACATTTGGGGGTCAAGTTCAAACTGGTTATGTATCTGGAACAATGAGAAGCATGCTTCCCCAACACCGCAAAAAGGAAAGGAGAGAGAGAGAGAGAGAGAGGAGAGTAAGAGATGAGGTGTCCTTAGGACAACTATTTACCAGGGAGTTAAAAGTTGAATTGGGAGAGAGGCTCATAAGGACTTAACCATATGAGAAAAGCCAAAACATTCCTTAAAATCCCAGTATCATTTCAAATAGACATAGGAAGAAATAGGCAAAGCGACTAGACTTTCATCAATGTTGGAGCAGTGAGCACCTTCCTATGCCTACATGACTAGATACACAGGATAGCCCTGTTCAGTTTGAGATGGATTGGGTTAGGTATTTGAACCTGATGAAAACACAGTGATAAGTGAGATTCTTAGTAGCAAAAATAAGACTTTTATTCAACCAGCAGCAAGAGAACCCAAAACACATAAGTCTCTTATTCTTCATTGTGTTTTGCTCGACTTTTATCTTAAACTGCCATCGAATTTGAAGGGAAGCCAGGCCATTTCCTTGGGAGAATTTCCCTTAATTTTTTTCTTGTAGATAAAAGTCAACGGACAATTAAAATGTCTGACAGATGGGGTTTCTGGTTGTAAACTTACTTTTAGATGCTTTTAAATATCAGTGCATATATCTGATTGACAGTCAAAACACTGCTGTTAAAAAAAATCTTTCTTAAGGATGACTTTTACTAGTCCTTACTTTATTTACTATAATATTTTTGAAAACATATTTATTGGGTGCTTACTCCCTACCAAGAAATTAAGATTTTCCAATAGAAAAGGGGTTGTTTGTTCTTTAAGCCAACAATCCGAGCCATGCTCCAAATGAGAAGCACATTTCTCTTGGGTACTTAGTTTAAAAACAAAAAACAAAAAAACAAAATCCATGCTAACCTTATTACCTGTAAATGACATGTCATTTACAGAGTATAGTGTCGATGTTGGAGAGAGTAATCTTTATAATTTCCCAATTTCAACGAAAGGTAGTTACAAAAAAAAGGATCAAAAATTCACAGGGCAAGATTTTACTGCCAGGGAGATTTTTACAACAAATGTTCAGTAGTGCGCAGTGATTTTGTTTTGAAACTACGCTATGCAATATGTCACCAAGTCTGCTTGACAGTGAAGACAGACTTCCTTCTGCCAGTATGGGTTTAACTGACACCTGCCTATAACATGATATTTAACAATGTAAAACAGCTTAAGGTTATCACTTGCCATTGCGAGTCTGTGTTTCCCTATTAGAATGCTTGGAACTAAGTTAATTGGCTCTTTTCTACACTATTATAGAGATGGACTGGGTGTAAGTGTAAAAGGAATTTACAAACAGGTATTCGAATCTAACATGTTGTTGAGATAGGCTTCTCTAAGTACTCACAAGGATTACAATTCTTGATGTACACCTTTTAAAAACAAGTCCCCTTCCACCCCTCTCCCCCCTGCAAAAAACAAAAAGCAAAAAACAACCCTTTAGACATGTGTGAGGTCATTCTACAGAAATGTACTAGAGAGAACAACAGTGTCAGATGTGGCCTCCCTTCTCCCTGGCCCTATTTGACCTTCAGTTTCTTAATGTATGAAATGAAGTGGGTTAGGATAGGATGGTATTTCTAAAGTGCTGTATTTGTACCGACAGAGGTGTTCGAGGTGGCTATGTGATACTCAAACCAGAAGACATTAAATACTAAACCAGATGGAGAGACAGTTACTCCCTTTTATCCTCTTCCAATTCTTGATTATTACAAGAAAAATGTCTCAGGCTGGTCCTCTCCTGTTTTTATCTCCCAACACCTGCTCTTCTCTCCTTTTTGAAAAGAGAGCAGGATTTCAGCTGAGCGCTTCCTGCATGCAGCAGTTCCGTGGCTAGAATCCAACGCCAGTGTTTCAAATGTTGGTGGATACGACCTCTCCCTCTCTTTGCTGGGAGCAGGAGCGGCTTTTTGTTTTTGTTTCATTTTTGTTTTTGTTGGGTTAGCCATTTTGTGATAATGATTTACACCAAGCTTTATCTTCAAATTCAAGGAATGGGACCCTTAGCACATGAATGACTCAAGTCTGGGGAACCAGATCAGAAGCCTCCAACCACTTGGGAGTGCAGGCAAGGCCCTGAGGTTGGCAAGCCCAGTGAAAGGGCCAGTGCGTGTCCCTTAGCTGAGGTGGGTACTCTGCTCTTGAATTGCCATATATTATGTTTCTGACAGTAGAATTTTGCCCAGTTGTTGTTTTTTTTCCCACTAATCTGGAAAGCTGACATAGGGTAGCCCCCTATTGAATCAGAATCCCTTTAAGCTCCTTGAACTTAAACCATCTTGCCTTGCTGTTCCTGAGGCTGTACCCTAGAATGGGTAGAAAAAGCCTACTTAAAGCTGCAGCTGCCAGAATAAAAGGTAACATGCATGTGTATTTTACTTTCTTCCCCCCCCCGCCCCCCGCAAAAAAAAGAAGAATAAGGAACGTATGTTGACTTCTTCCTTGTGAACTTCACTTATCACAGGAAAGTATCATGATTTTGGATCACATTTCCATAGCAGCAATCAGACTACTGAAATTCACAAATAAAGGACCCGCTTGGATGCATGCAGCCGGTAGAAAATTCTGCAAATGTCGAGAGGAGCGGCTCACACAACTTACTTCCGAGCTCTATTTTCATTTTGTTGAAATAAAAAGACAAAACAAAAGAAAAGAAAACTGTAAAATATTCCAGAACAGAGTAACACAGTGTGGTGTTCAGTTGTGCACAGGGGGCTCGATTCATTAGCTGAGAGATCCTGTTAAGGCTCTGTAGGATCTTGGCATGGTGATCAAAGAAAAACACGGTTCGCTTATGGTATCATCCTTCATTGCTGAGACTCCCCCCCTCCGTCCCGCCCCTGAAATACAGTGCTTCCTCCAGAACGAGGTTCAGAAGGAAGACCCTCTAGGAAGTCATCACGGCCTCTTTGATACACGATGTCCAAGTAAACTGTAGGAACCGTTTTGACCTAATATGAATGTCATGGGGTTAAAAGGACAGTGTTCTACATAGTAGGATGATTATAATGTCGGTGGTGTTTTTTGGACGGCACCCATCTCTTCCGAGTTGGGGCTTCTTAGAAGCCTGGTTTTCTGACAGGTGGGTCATCTGAAACTCAGTGTTAGAGAAATTATGTGTACTGAATTTCTCGGCTCTGAGACAAGTTCATGTCGACTGCTGAGTCTACGGTTGAGATAGAAGAGTGATGAGCTTTAAGGTTAAAGTTGATACCAGAAAAAGTATTCAAAGGTATTTAGGAACAGAATGCTTCAAGGCATTGAGTGATGATCTAAAAAGACAGATCCGTTAGTGAAACAGAGGACACAAGCCTGGAGAAGCAGGCATCCACCAGAGACGAGGGAGGCCACGTGTCAGGGAGAGAGGCTGTGAAGTTTGGAAAAGAGGGGAGTCCAGACAGAGCTCTGGAAAAGCTCTCAGGTCAGACGGGAGGATGGGAGAGGCCAGGGAGAGAGCTCTATCAAATGAGTTTGTAACTTCTCCCTCAAGCAGCAAGGTCTGATTTCACCCGATGCCATTTCACCGAGGCTGATGGTCTCACTGTGTCTGAATGGGAGGCAATGGGAGCCTTGCCCTTAAGAATCGAGCCCTGTGTGCTTTCCTGTATCACTAACTTAAAATGAGAGATTATGCACGATTAGAGTCATCTAGCCAAACCCAGCCCATATAAATTTCCAATTGTATTTTTTTTACAAAGTACCCCTCCCACCTCAAAGGAAATCTAACCCCAAGACTATATCATAAAAACAATTCAGAACATTTGAGCTGCTCGAAGCTCATCTACTTTAGAAGTTCATGTTGCTACCGAAGAAACAGACTGAGAAACGCCAAAGAAGCAGAAGAATTCATAAGGGGTTTCCTCTGTTACTCTATCCTGAAGCAGCATTGGGAAGACCCACATAAGCTGTACCTTGAAACTCTTAAAATCGGGTCAGGCCACCTTCCAGCAATCTAACAATTGCTTAGGGACAATGTGTCAACTTTGCTTCCCCAAATATTTTTTCCTAGCATACTATAAAAATTTTCAGACCTAGAGCAAAGTTGAAAAAAAACTTACAGCGACCATCCCTAAGCTGTCTGTCCCCTGGGGTTTCAGCATGAATGCATTTCACAATAAAAATATAAATGTATAACATTCACATGTGGCTACAAAATTACTACAGAAACTACCAAAGCATTTTTTTCCCAGTGTTTTTGTTAGATATAAAAACTCACCAATGGCATCAAAGGCCAATTTCATTTCATTATCTATTTAATAGGTACATCATTCTGATAGAAAGGGTTATAAATACGATGCCGGAGGACATGGGGTATGTGGCTGCTTGACCCATAGACTGACCGCACCTGCCCACACCAACAAAGGTAAGTTTTCTTTTTAATAGACTTGAGCAGTATAGGTTAGTGGCAAAACATTAAAAGTACAAAGAATGCTTTCCCAGTATATACACATTATACCGTGTATACTTCTTCTACGAATGTTAGGTTCCTATATGGTTGTGGGTGTGTAGGAATGCCCTCTGTGCCAGGAGGGCTATGTCTGGTGACCCTGGAGGGAGAGGCCTGTCCTCAGAAGTGAAGGCCCAGCATCCCTTAGGGGACTCGCTCTCTGAGATCTAAACTTGAAGGAATAAAGATGTGGAGGCTCCACAGGGTGGGTATTTGGTTATAAAGGTGGCCATGAGCTTCAGCAAAGCAGCTCCCTGTGTGAGCCAGATCTCCTACGTGTTCCTCTGTGTTTCGCTTTTATAATTTCCCACACTTTGAAAGAGTGTTACCTTAAGATTCTAGCCTTTCCTTACAAGGGACAGAAAGCACAGTTGTGGGCCCGGTGTGAAGTCACAGAACTAAAGGTGAAGTGATGTCGCTTTGGTGCTGGTAGTGGCAAGATCATGACTGAATAGCTCTGAGTGGCCAGGAGGGCTGGCCACTCTACCATCCATGCAGAATCTCCCTCTCTTGTAGATCTCAGGGTGCCTGGATTTGATTCTCATTAAGGCAGGCAGCAATTTCTAGACGCAGTCCACATTTCCAGCGATAGTTATTCAAAAAACATAGTCAGAGGGAGAGGTCAAAGGGTAGCATTTGAATGCTTAGTGATTTCCCATAGAATGTGAAGTGTGATACAGTACCTATGAACTACCTAGATATACAAAATAAAAACTCCAGCTTCAGAGCTTTTCCGGTCTGCTGTGCTAGGCAGCTCTGAGAAGACCCACCTTACTATGTAATCCAGACACCTAGCGTTTACCCACCTTTCTGTGATTGCCCTGGTAGGCTGCATGAGAAAAGCCACGTTTCTGACCCACGCATGTGACTGAGCTGCTCTTCCCCATACAGAAATGCCACTGAGTTAAGAGCAAGGCTGCACAGCCTCGAGACTGATGCCCACATGAATGTACTTACGGTAAGGATGCTGCCAGCCTGGGGGAGAAAGAGCTGGTGGCTTTCAGGTCATTATTGATACTTACTATAGACATTTGTCTTTTCAAAGTCTATGATAGTTATATATAGCATAGAAACAAAGTAACATGAAAGAACTTAAGCATATGGAATAATGGTGGCCTCCGTAAGGTCAGAATCATTGTAAAAGGCACTATAAAATCTATAATCAACATACAGCAAATAGAAAATCCCCTATGTCCTGAGTAAAGACTAGTTTAAAAATGCAAGTATTAAATCAAGTGTAGGTACTGCCTTCATAGAAAGATGTTGGCAGCCTGTTTAAAAAAAAACCCAGAGCGATCATAAAATATTAAATGTTTTTCAAGATTTTGCAGTCAATACAAACGAAACATCCGAGGGCAAGCCATATGAATAAATAAGTTATATTAAGATATACAATTGCAACTGAAAATAAGGTTTCTAAAGAGAGAAACTGAGAAGACATTTTAATTAATATATTAAATGACTCTGCTCCCAATAAGGGATGATTTTGAGTCCAAAAAAGAACTGACAATTTTCTCAGCATTTCATTTATGGAATTATTAAATTGCCAAATAATGTCTTCTGGGAACACACATGACAGTGTTTTCTTTTTTCCCCCTCTCACAAAAGAAGAATAACCAAGTATGGGAAATTAAGACCCAGAGTTACAAAAAGCAGGATGACAATGAATGAAAAATGGTACTTACTGATGAATAGCTTGCAAGAATTTTCGTTGATGTTTTCTTACTTTTGCATGATCTATCTTTTTTACTAGCTTTGTATTTTTGTAAATTAGCCATGTTTCCCTGAGTACATTGGCAGCTGCGTTTTTCACCTGTTAAGAAAACAAACAAAGCAGTTGATAAATTCCCAGAGCAGAATCCTTTGCAAACATGGCCAGGGGTCCTATTCTTTTTTTTTTTTTTTTTAATATATATTTTTTAAGCTTTTATTTATTTTTGAGACAGAGAGAGACAGAGCATGAGCAGGGGAGGGGCAGAGAAAGAGGGACACACAGAATCTGAAGCAAGCTCCAGGCTCTGAGCTGTCAGCACAGAGCCTGATGCGGGGCTTGAACTCACAGACTATGAGATCATGACCGGAGCTGAAGTTGGATGCTTAACCGACTGAGCCCCCCAGGGGTCCTATTCTTAATCCCAAAGATCACGGTAAGTTCTAGCTCTGTTTAGTAACTATTTCTCAAAAGAGTATTTTTCTTGAATCTGTGCATTTTAAAAGGTACCTCTGTTTGTCTGGCACAACATTTAGGTTGAAATATTAGGGAGGTACTGATCTCTTTCTGGGCTTCTACCCATCAGGAACATTTTCATCCAACCAGTTCTTTTAAAAAGCAAGAGGTGGTTGTAACCTGTCTGGCAACATTGCAGGGGGGGTCAGGGGGAGGTTGGAAGAGGTGCTGAATTCTGCACCTTGTATTCCATTTGTTTTCCCCATGTTCTCCATTTCCCTGGAGAGAGGCAAAATGCCAGAAGGCCAAGGTGAATGTTGTCTTTTGCAAGCTTGCTTGGCATTTTTGGCTGTGAACTACAGGAAGGGCATGTTTCCACTGCTCAGTGTCCAAGCAGACCTATTCTTCTGCCCTTTCCGAGTGACTCAGCAAACTGTTAGCATGCTTTAATGAGCTGACAGTCTATGTTGTCATGATTTTGTGGGTTAATTTGAGTACACTGCATTTCAAACGGATGGGACAAACCTAAACGATACAAGTGTTTTAATGACACGGCTGAGACCTACTGTGGTTGATGGAAGGTATGAATACTTCCTAGTAATATTCAAGCACTTACTTTTGTGATTAGCTCTTCATCAATTTCTGGACATTGATAAAGGCCCAGCCACGGACAAGTTCGTCCTTCCTTGCTCACGCTACAGGTTCTGATGACCCAGAGCTTCCCCTTAAGCTTGTTGTTAATGACTTACTCTAAGAAATTGATCCATTGGATTCTTTTGAGTGATGGATAAAGGCTGTTTCACAAAGAGCAGGCTGCTGGGGGGTTGGGTGGAGGAAGACCACTTTTTAAGAAAGGCACTGTGGTAGGGAAGAGAGAGCCACGAACTGGACTTGAGAAAGGGTTCTAAGTTCTTGACTTTGGACTAACCAAGTGAAGTCAAGGGGATGAGCTAACCCTTGCAGGACTTTAGTTTTCTCTTCCCTACATGAGAAGAGTACAGAGAATTATCACTCAAGTCTGTTTCAGGCCTTAGACTTTCAATAAGGAAGAGTCTTAAAATTACATGACAACTATGATCCCAAGGAGGTATCTGTATTTTTTGACTTTGAGCACCGAAAGCATCAGGTTTGGTAGCTGATGGTGAATCTTTTTCACGCTGCTGAAAAGGTTTCTTTTTGAGGGAAATTGCTAGAACCCATTTGAAGAAAACGACACTCTCCTAAAACTGCTTTTAGCACTGACTTTGGTCTATAATGCACTTTCTCTGGATATTCATCAGAGCCTGCACAGAGAGCATGCATTCTGAAACCAGTGGAAAAATGAAACGTCAGGTGCTGAGCACCAGCAGAGCATCTGAGAAACAGCACCACTATCCGCAGTGAAGTTCAAAGGTGTTCCAGTTAAATTCTTTGCTCTTCATTCTCATGGAAACACATTTCTCTTCTTTACAGGGGTAGGGAATGCTTTTCCATTTGGTCCTCATGTTCTTTTCAGAGGTAACGATGCTATATAAGTGGCTAACGGTTGAGGACATTGCTTTTATTTTTTATTCATTTTTTAAATGAAAGTTTGTTTGTTTATTGAGAGAGAGAGAGAGAGAGAGAGAATCCCAAGCAGGTTCTATACTGTCAGTACAGAGCCCAACATGGGGCTCATACTCACAAACCGTGAGATCATGACCTGAGCTGAAATCAAGATTGGAGCACTCAACTGACTTGAGCCCCCCAGGCACCCTGAGGACCTTGCTTTCAAAGGGAGAGGGGTGGGAAGTTACTGGCCAACACTGACTGGGGTTGGAATAGGGTCCTTCCACACTAGGAAGCAGAAGGGCCAGTTAAGCGAGGTCTCAGCTCTCTGAACAGCTTTACCACCTGGAAGAAGGCAAGGGGGCTGGGTGGCCGCCCCCTCCCTGATTTTATCAGCTGAAGACACAGAGGAGGAAGCTAGAAAACTTGGTAAAAACAGGTGGGACCATAACACAGCAGTTGAACATAGTAACGTTTGCAAGAGAACAAAACAATTGATTTCACTTTGGATTCCCATCCGCACACAGCAAACGCCAAATGACCCAAGTCCTTAAATCTTGAACAAGGCGATTCATTGCTTGTCATCGGTGTATTTTATATGATTGTTTTTCCTCTTTGGGATGGCAGGGGAATGGCTGAAGGGGAGTAGGGAACCTCAATTTCTGAATTCATGGGGGTGAGTGAAACCCCCAAGTTCTTTGTTGCAGGGTTCACATGCACAAAATGCTCATTGTAGTTGACAGGCTAAAAAATGAACATGATTCCTCGTCTGAAAATGAAATCCCTACAGCTGCTTTTAAGAACTGTGAAACACAGGCACTTATGTTGAAACATTTCCCTTTCTAACTCTCTAATAGGTGGTGAAACCCAGGAAGAAAACTCTGGAAGCATCCCATCTGCTGCTTTTTCAAAGTAGCGGTCACAAGACATGTGTCCAAAAGTAGAAATATGTGCTCTCTGCTTACTGGTCACATGTGTCTGGAATATGTTTTTCTGGTCTGTCTTTGGGTTGGAAGGGACAGGGTGGAAAGCACCTCAGTGTTTCACAAGCTCAAACAATGGGGAACTATCTGTTACATGACCATGACAGAAAACTTATAGGGGAAACTGGAGAAGAAAAGTTGCCTTGGAGGGAAAGTTTCCTCTGCTTATGTACTTAAGAATGCTGCCGTGACGTCTAACAGTGTAAACCTAGAGCTCTGTCCTGCCCTTCGAGGGCATTTATAGACTCTCAGAAGACAGGGGTATTGTCACTAACCTTTGTGTCTCCCTAGCTCAGGGCTTCGGACATAGGTTGCGCTAAGTATTTGGTACCATAGTGTATACATTGTATCATAAGAACTCCTTTTTTTTTTTTAGTATTTTTATTATTTATTTTTGAGAGAGAGAGAGAGAGAGAGTGCATGAGCAGGGGAGGGCAGAGAGAGAGGGAGACACAGAATCTGAAGCAGGCCCCAGGCTCTGAGCTGTCAGCACAGAGCCTGATGCAGGGTTTGAACCCATGTACCGTGAGATCATAACCTGAGTTGAAGGCAATCACTCAAACGACTGAGCCACCCAGGCGCCCTGCATCATAAATTCTAATCATGAGCCACAGATACATATTTATTGACCACAGGACCTTCTTTTAAAAAAAAAAATTTAATGTTTATTTATTTTTGAGAGACATCATGAGCAGGGGAGGGGCAGAGAGAGAGGGGGAGACACAGAATCTGAAACAGGCTCCAGACTCTGAGCTGTCAGCACAGAGCCTGATGCAGGGCTTGAACTCACAGATCGTGAGATTATGACCTGAGCCAAAGTCAGACGCCCAATCGACTGAGCTACCCAGGTGCCCCGACCAAAGGACCCTCTTGATAAGAAGGGTATACAGGTTACAGAAGAGACGTAAGATCTAACTACGTCTTCCCTAATTTCCATTTACTAATTCAAATTTATGAAGTGTCTACCATATGCTAGAGCCCATGATGGTTGTTATGCGGGATCACAGATCTAGCCCTCAAAAATTAGTAGCTGTAGTGATTCTTGTGCCAATTAATGAGCCAACAACTCTGTGCAATACTTTCCTAATGTCAAGAAACAAGGAGAGTGAGGGGAAGGTTCTTCTCCCCTCCCATCATCCCTTCCTCCACAGCCAGGGAAAAAAGGAAAACATGAACATTTGCTCTGCCTGACTCATGCTCCATTGCAATTAAAATCTTTCATCAGAAACATTTTGAAAGGCATAATAATAATCAGTTATGTTGAGAAAACAAAAGCCCTAAAAGCAATAAACTATTAAAGATAACAGTACTTACCCAGATGCCTTAAAACCACCTTTGCAGTTAAAAAAGTCATGAAATGTTCTATCGCTGACGTTTACAGGTGGTGATGAAATACTAAAGCCAGAGGTCGTAAGGTAAAATATATTTTTAAGTGTAATAATACTTGATAAACCACAAAAGCACTTAAAAGCTGACTGACTTTTCACTGAAACTTTGCCTTGCTCAAACCTATACAGATACACATTAGAGCACTGTTTTAAAGAGTACTTTGTTTATAGTTTTCCTTTGCTTTTGACTCTTCTGATTGTTATTTAATTGATTTTTTTGTTTGTTTGTTTGGTCCAGTTTCCCCTTGCCTCTCCCTTCAGAGACTTATTTTGGTGCAATGCTTCCATTCTTATCAGATTTAAGAGAAGGGACATAACCTCTGACTTAAGAAGCAAGAGTTTTCCACCTCTCGTTCTTGTAACTGTGGTAAAATGGGTAAAATGTTGCTTCACAGGCTGTGGGCGATGCCTCCAGGCTGCCGGGGACAAACACAGACAACACTTCTAAACCTGGACACTAGGACCACATGCCGCCCAGGCCCTCTTGAGAACGGATACCTGGGGCTGGGTGAGTGCTATAGCTTTGGAACAGGGCAAGGTCAAGCGATCCAGTCACTTTGCTTTCTCACCCTCGGGGCTGTGTCTCCAAGCACCATGTAAAAGCTCCAGAGACTCAATCCTCCAGAATTTCTGTTCGCTTGTTAAGAGATACGTAGGACAAAAAATTATATAACTGCATAATGGTGTTCTTATTATGGATCTTATTGAGAATTCTTAACAGGATTGGAAACACCCACAGTGGACATTA